GACGTTAAGGTTTACCCAATTTTTTATCCTTTTTTAAGATTAGTATTTTATTTATTTATTTTTTAAACCTCCATTCTTTCACAACTGCAACAACGAGGTGTCCCATCATGTTCGTGCGTAGGGCAGTACTTTTGGTGCCAGAAAGGATGTGCTCTGTACTCAATAAGTCCGGCCCCATTTGTCGGGATCTACGTGAAAACAGACGTATGAGAAAAATGCCAAAAAAATATATATATATATATTTGCTTAAATTTATTAATGTTTTTGCGTGATGCTAAGAGACTTACGAAGTGTTTACAGACATCGCATTTCGGGTGGTGCAGGTCTTTGTAACAGGACTTATGAAACGGGCGATTATCAGACAAGGAAAACTGAAAAAAGGGGAAATTGTAAGAAGTCAGTTCATGAAATGACTTCGTTTAGCTCGAGAACTGTAATAAAAAATTCTTCAGTACCTAACTACCTCATAATCGGATATTGGGTGATTGCAAGCATGACAAAGAAAACACTCTGGATGCCAAACAGCTCCCATGCAACTCAAATATCTTCCATGGCCGATTTCACTATGGCAACCAGCACACATTCTATAAAACCGTGGGGAAAAAAAGGAAAAGCAATTTGTCAAATCTTTCTCAGTAATATTGATCAATGCAATGGCACAGTTTGTATAGAAAAATGCTCATCAATCCTAGCAAGAAAACTGCAGTTCTCTCATGACATATCAAAATTGATTAAGACCAACTAAAAATGTGCATAATCTGTGAGAGAGTCCTTTATTTTTTTTGTTGCAATCCGATAAAAAAATACAATCTTTATTCACATTGAGAACGAATCACAACACAAACAGTATAACCTATTGAAAAGAATAAACTACTTTCACCTTTCGATTTCATAGATTAATAAATTTCTGAAATAGGCATTTAATTACCTGTATGCTGAAGGGTTCATGAAAGGATAAGGCGATAAGAAACTCCCGTAATCATATCTAGGTGATCGAGGTGGAGGTGATGGAGTATGAGGCGAATGAGGTGGAGATAACTTCAGATTCCAGCTTTCTTGGATAGCCTTCGCCAGCTCTTCATCTTCCTGTAACCGAACCTCGTCATCATCATCATCACCATCATCATTATCATCTGGTACAAAAGTCACGAGTTCGAGTAATAGTTACAAAATCTCCCTTCAGTCCCATTTTTGGAGGAAAAATAAAAAACTTTTAAACGCAGGTTCTTATTATTATTATTCTGCGAAAATTAAAACTTCCATAGACTGTGCACACAAAATTCAAGAAGGTGAAAGGATCATCTACTACCTACTACTTTTTTCCCTTTCGCGTCTTCTTCGGCAATAGAGAGTGCAATTGCTCGGTCAAGTTCTTCTTTGTCAAAATCCGACACTCGATCCTATACCAGACAGGATATGAAAAATTAATATAATATATGTACAGAACACATAAATGATCTCTCATAGATGCTGCAAATGAGTTGATATATGATGGTCAATGAATGAACTACCGCTGATCTTCGAGGTCCTTCCCAAACTATTTCATCTTCATATTTCCCATGATACTGCCCTCTCGAGAGTCTGTGATTGGGGCCTCTGAGAATCTTGGCTAGCCAACCCATAAACACAGTTTACTAGCTCCTTCTCGGTCGATTTGAATAATCAACCGTGATTTTACATTAATTTCTGAAAGGAAAAAATCTTCTAATCAAACATATATACAATCTACAATGAAGTAGAGAGATTCGGGGAAAAGAAAAAAAAAGGCACTTCTTTTATTCAGTTATTTTCTCAAATACCATACGTGCACTTCAGAACAAACCAAAAGAATGTAATCAAGATCAAAGCTTTTACTAACTCCAAACTTTGCATCAGAAAGCAATGGAGCCCAATTGAAATTCTGAATTCTGATAATCATCACCAACAATCAAAACTTGCCCATGTGAGAAAAATGGCAAAAGGGATAAAACCATAAAAAAACCCAACTGTCAGAAAGCGTACCCAAAACAGATGAAGAATCTGCTGATTTTTTAGGAATCCGATAAACTCCCAGATCAGACAAGGCATCAGATTTGGGAGATGAAAAGGCATAGTCAGTCGCTAACAAGAATTATTAGAAAAGCTGACACCAGAGATATTTTCCATTTCCCCACACAATCCCTTCTAGCTACCGACAACAGATCAACAAATGTAAGAACAAGTGACCATTTTTTTCAAATTCACCATAAGTAGAAGAACATTCAAGTAGCAAGAAAGGTACAAAAAAAGCGGACAAATGCTACTTGAATTCTAAGCAAAGATGCGAGTGGTTGTTTTATTTCTACCCACTTAAAGTATGGAGCTTTGCCACTGGTTTATTTTAAAGTTTGAAATTTTTTGTGATATTATTATAAAATTAAAGATGTCCATAANATTTTTTTGGTCTATTAAGCATGTTTAAATCTAATAATCCAATCAATTATCCGCTATCAGCTAATTGAATGATTATAAACTATTCAAAGAATAACAATATATATACAAATTCATTATTCAAAAAGAAACAGGGAATTTTTTTGGGTAGAGAAAAATACTAATTATAAAGCAGGTATTGACGAGTTTGTTTGAAAATACTTCTCATGCTAAATATTTATGTTTCATGCAAAATTAAAAGTAAACGTATGGATAAATTGTTTTTTCATAAAACTAGTGTGTGGCCCGTGCGATGCACGGCAAAACAATATTATGATTCTATTATAAATTAAATATATAAATAACATTAACCATGATTTACCCATTTTTTTTAAATTAAATTGGGTTGGACACAGTCCGACCGAATGGACCGAGAACCGGTTTATAACCAGTCTAGTTCGTTTGAATAAAATATTTGTAATATTTGTTGTCGAATCTTTCAACACCAGTCGGTTGGACTGGTAGGAACGATACGATTTCCTAAATAAATTTTGTTATATTTTAAATTATATTAAATAAAATTATATATTTAAATAAAATAGAGATATATAAGTTGTTTATCAATTATTTTAAACATTTGAATTTATAAATTGTTTAGATATTTAGGTAACAAATTTTATTTAAATTTATTACAAAAAGAATATATATACATATATATATATATATTAAAATGTTTATAAATTAAAATCAAACAAACTACAAATGATTTAATAAAATAACTTGATCGTTGCGATGACGGTCCGTTTCTGAAAACCTTATATTTACTGTACATTAATAAAAATTATAATAAAATATTATTTTATTCACATAAATATTGACAAAATGATATATAAATATTCATAAATCATTTAACATGTTGTCATAAAAGTATTGTTAATATGATTATTTGAAATTTGGACTACATCACATTCATGTAATAAAGTATTTTCAATATTAAAATTTATATTTAGGTTCAATAATCGATTTGGTATGGTCAAAATGATACATAACTTAGTCATTACCGATTCATTTGACGGAATAGATATTAAAAATTATTATTTAAAAAAGTTTTTGATTGAATAGATATTGATAAAATATTATTTTAAAAAGTTGTTAGGCGATCTACATATTATCTGTGAACCTAAAATGAAAAAGAATTTTAAATTTCAAATTCAGCACTATGGAGTGTGTGTATAGTATAAACTGACTGGTGGTGATAGCATCTACGTTTGTTGTTTTCGTCATTTTACCAGTGTTCTAAAAGTCGCTAGGCGCCCGCTAGGCGCTCGAGCAGTGCCTAGCGCCTAGAGCGCCTAGTCGGGGCCTAGGCGGCGCCTAGTCGGGGCCCAAAAATCAATAGTAAATACCTTATTTTTTATTTATTTTAACTACCTACAAAATAAAATTATCTCAACATATAATAAATTCACACACCAAAGTCCAAATAATAATATTAATATATATTAAAGAAAACATGAGAACAAAATAATGTAATTAGTATTTAGAAAAATAAAAAAAAAATAAAAAAAAAATTGAAAAATTGCCGCCGAGCCCGCCTAGGAACGCCTAAGTCCGCCTACGCCCGCCTAGACGCCGCCTAACCGCCTGGCCGCCGAGCCCGCCAAGGCCGCCTAGGAGCGCCTAGGGCCGCCTAGGCGCCGCGCCGATTTTTTTTGCCGATTTGTACAAATCGGGGCGCCCGGGCACCACCTAGCGCCTAGGCGCCGCCTAGGCGGCCGCCTAGGCCGATTTTTAGAACAGTGCATTTTACCATATCAATTCGAGATAGATTCTTCCGAAGGGAGCTGCTACTCAGTTGTGATTACCGGGGCTTAAATTGATCTTTACGCGAATAAATAGAATAAAGATCTCGGACTGGGATCTTTTGTCTCTTTTGCTTTCATTTTTTTGTCAATTATCTACTTGCAGGGAATAAATATGTTAAGTCTTAATTAAACAAACCCCACAATTTAAGAGAGCATTTAATGCTATTGATTTTATATGGTAAACAAAATTTAAAAAATTTCCTAAAATAACATGCAATTAATTTTGGCGAATTTTTCTGCTTACTATTTTTAATAAATGATAATTCTTATTATATATGTAATAATTCATTCTAAAAAGTAAATGATGGTAACTTTTGAATAAGTCCAATTTGCACAAGTGCATTTACGAAATGCATTTTTTGAAAAGTGCGCCAAATAAATATTTAATTGTGTAGTTATAAAGGAGGCAAATGATTCAAGTTATTACCGTGAGTCCGTGACCCACTTGAAAAAAATGAGATTTTGAAGCAAATTAACTGCTTGTTTTGTTGGTTGCATGCTACCTTTACTGGTATGTTTGTAAATTGTAATCAGTGGAAGCAAACTATTTCTGTATACTATACCTTTTCAAGAAAATTGTGATGACCATAATATAAATATTGGGTTTCTTTATAGATTGCGGTAATTAAAATTGCATTTATGTAGTTTTTTATTATACATGACTTACATATATAGTCCTTCTCTCATGCCTACAGTAAGCACAAATTATTATACATCAAGCTAATGCAGCAAGAAATTAATATACTATAACAGTTAAAAAAATCATGATATCTTGCTAGTTGCTACAATAGACACATCTTGATCTTAATGTGTCATTAGTTACATATCATATTAACTATTTGATTTCTGAAAATTGTATAATTCACTTCATGAACCAGAAAGTAGATGTGAATAATTGGATTTTTAATAATAATCTACTTAAGTTTGACCAGTTGGTTACACGTTCGAGACACTTCTAAAACACTTTGGAGAAAAAGATTTAACAAATATTTTTCTCATGAAACAACAAATTAAATTAATGAAATAAAATAATGGTGATGTAGGGCATGGCATGGCGATAATAACTCCAAGTTACTTAGTTTGAAATTAAGAAATTGGTGCACTTCATGACGTGGGGGCTCTGTCGCATTTAGGAAAGGTCAAAACACAATAATGTTAACCTTTCCCATTTAAAAAAAATAAAAAATCCAACCTTTCCATTGACAAAGCGTCGTCAAAATGAGGCTAATAATTAAAACAATAATAAAAATAATAATAATTGTGATTTTTTGAATGTTGCTTTTACTTTTTTCATTTACCTAATTTCTTATTTTGTTTTTAGATTTAACTCAAACTCAAAATATGCTTTAGTGTCCTTTGAATAAATCATCATATTGATCCGCTTAGGTTATACTTTACATCATACTATCAACGTACTTATACGGGTATTAATAAAAAAATAAATGTGATTTTTATTATCTTAAAAATTTTACATTCTTACTAAATAGTTTTTATTGAATGTGGTTTCTGTCACTGGGTAAGATTTGTTCGTGTTGTAGTATGAAAATTGTTCTAACTTATATCGCATAAGATCTTAACAGATAAACTTATTTAATTAAAACATAATAATTTTATTATTATTTTACTAGAATTGATAGATAATTTAATTTTTCGATATAATTATTCTTATTTTATGCATCCAATATACATGTCAAATCGAAAGCCGTTCATATGATTAATTTAATATATTATATATTAAAAATTATATTAATTTTAAATATATTTATAATTTAGATTGTACTAAAAATTTTATAGTCATAAAAGTTCTAAAAGGTATTGATAAATATCAACATCTACATGGATTGTTTCAAAAGCAAACTACCGTTATTTGAAACATATGATTATGAAAAACAAAAATTAACACATAAATCGTGAACACGTAAATCGTTTTCCATTTATGAATAAGGAGTGATATTTATAATAAGCGTATTCAAAATACTTGTATTCAATAATGAACATGCTAACTTTCCTCAAGTAATTTTGCTTTTATTAATTATCTTATTTTGTTACACTATAAAAAATTTCATATTCTAATGAAAAATTTAAGAGTAATATATATTCTAATAGAAATTTCAACATGTGTACCAATAATATAGCTTCTGTTGAAGTGATTCAGTGAAAATTTGAACGAAATATTTTGTTGGAATGCGTTATCCAATAGGAATTTTAGTTGGAATTTGATCATTACAACGACAATTTTTCCAACAGTTTATTATCATAAGAATTTCTGTTGGAATTTTCAGCTAATATTCAACAGCTGGAATCGTCAAAATTCAATATGGAAATTCCAATGAAAATTTCATTTAGACGAAATATTTTGTTGTAATTTCTGTTGAAATTCATTGAAATATTCCAACAGAAATAATAACATTGGAATTCCATTGGTATATATTTTTGTTGGAGTTTCGTCATTGTCTTATAGTATTGTAGACTGAAATATTAAAATCATTGGAAAGAAATAATATAATATTGATATCAATTAGTTCTCAATTATTAGCCATTAGGTAAAAAACTATTAACATGTATCCCAATATTTGTTGTCATTTCTTTTTGAAATGCTAATATCAGCCAACGATATTGCTGTACACACCCACACAGTTATTCAAACTATTTCACATATTGATTTTTATTTACATTTTGGCAGATTTATATTTCCACAAAATTGGAAATTAAATAGATAAAGTTAGGTAGGCAGTCGGCAGCATAGCAGATGAATGATGCAAAATATTCAATAAAAGAAAATAAAAAATTAATGCGCTGGTTGATCTTAGACTTCCTTTTCATTTTACATTGACCCACCAATTAATCTTCTGTAATGTCTATATTAAGGTCAATTTCCCCATCAACTTTGAATAGTCTGCAGTTTTTAAGCAGATGGTGTGAATTTGATGATTTTACTTCGAAACAGTGATGTGAGAAATAAAAATATCATCACTTCATAAATCTGAATATCAAGTATCACCTAACAAATAAAT